TTGGTTAATCAAGGTAAACCAACTTCAAATCATATTTTTGACCTTCTCGGATTTATTCTATTATACCACTAGTCAGTTTCAACATTTCCAACTTCACACTATCAGGATTCTCTTCACATACTAAGCCTGTATCTCTAAATTGTCCGATCATCTCTAATTCTCGAATCATAAGCATTGACACGTGCAACGATTTTCTACTCAATGTACCGATAACTACATTTGCTTTACCAGGATGGTAATTCAAATCAAAGTCATAATACTTCAACAACTCAAGCCATCTTCTCCGTCTCATATTCAACTCCTTCTGGTCGAACAAGTATTTTAGACTCTTATGGTCACTGGACACTTTAAATTTAGAGCTAAAAAGATAATGTCTCCAAATCCTCAACACAAACACCACAACTGCTATATCTAAGTCATGCGTGGGATAATTCCTTTCATGAATCTTCAATTGTCTAGAAGCATAAGCCACAACTTGTCCATTTTGTATTAGCACACCACCAAGACCCATCTTTAACGCATCACAATACACCACAAAAGCATCACTTGGGTTAGGAAAAATTAATGTCGGAGCAGTCGTTAACTTCTTTTTCAATTCTATGAAACTTTCTTCACACGCCACATCCCACACATAAGCTTGACCCTTTCGAGTCAACTGAGTTAACGATAATGCTATCTTAGAGAATCATTCAATAAACCTTCAGTAATAACCTACTAAACTAAGAAAACTTTGAATCTCAGTCGCAGACTTTGAAGTCTCTCATTGCAACACTGCATCAACTTTAGAAGGATCCATATCAATCCCACCACTAGAAATCACATGACCAAGGAAACTTACTTCCTTCAGCCAAAATTCACACTTCGACAGCCTAGCATATAGATTATTCTCTTTCAACACTTGCAACACAATTCTCAAATGTTCCACATGCTCTTCTTCGAATTTGGAATAGATCTAAATATCATTAATGAACACTACGACAAACTTATTGGCATCACAATGTACTCGTAATGACCATACCTCATTCGAAAATCCGTCTTCGGAATATACAGGCACCCACCAACTGATCCATTAAGTCACCGATCCTCGGAATTGGATATTTATTCTTAATAGTCACCTTATTCAATTGTCTGTAATCCACACACAATCTCATACTTCTATCTCTTATAGTTGTTTCTTCAACTCGCTCAGCTCTGGAGCTGACATCCTATAAGAAGCCATTGACACTGGACTTATACCTGGCACCACATCTATAGAAAACTCCACTTCACGTTCCAGAGGCAAATCATTGATGTCATCTGGAAACACTTCTGGAAATTCACAGACGACATGTAAGTCAACATTATCCGCTTCACGATCAACTTGCAGCGATGCAAATATTGCAAACATCAAAGCTTCATCTTCTTTAAGTTCATTCACTTGCTTAGCAGACAACAACACCAATTCTCCATTATCACCGAACTTAGGGAACCTCAAAGTCTTATTATAACAATTGATGTGAAAATTGTTGAATTCTAACCAGTTCACCCCAAGAATAACATCAATTTGGTGTAAGGGCAGACACACCAAATCCATAACAAAACTCTTACCATAAATGGTCAAAGGGCGCTTTGAACAAACAAGAGTGGTAGTAACAGAACTACTAACTGGAGTATCTATCACCATACTACCATTCATATCAGACAACTTCAATCCCAACATGTTAGTACATTCACGCGAAATAAACGAATGAGTAGCACCAGTATCAATAATAACAACCAATTCAACATTGTTAATAAAACAAGTACCTCGAATTAAGTTGTCTTTCTTGGAAAATCCTCTGACCCACTCAAAGCGAACACTCTACCATTGGTCTGGACAACAACGTCCCTCTTCGGCTTCTGACATTAGGTACTGATATGACCCTGCTCTCCACAATTGAAACAGGTTGGACCATCGTTCTTGCATTCAAGAGCATGATGACCCATCTTACCACATTCGTAGCAGCTCAGCATCTTATTCTCACATTCATTAGAACGATGACCTTGTTCACCATACTTATAGCACTTGACAGAAGCCGGAGCTCCTCCCCCACTTGTCTTCTTCCCATCATAAGCCTTCTATTTCCCTTTATCAGCTGGGGAATCATAAGGCTTCTTAAGGTCTTGATACTATTTTCCTCTTTTCTCGTTCAAACTCTTGTAGTAAGCTGAATGAGCTTTGGTGTCTTATTCATAGATTCTACAGTTATTCTCCAACTCTGAAAATACACAGATCTGTTGATACCCGATTTCCTGTTTGATTTTCGAATGCAAACCATTATCAAAGTTAATACACCTTGAGAATTCAGCAGTTGCTTTACTGTAATATGGACAATACTTGGCCAGTTCCACAAACTTAGAAGTATACTTAGTCACAATCAAGTTACCTTGTTTCATCTCCAGAAACTCAATCTCTTTCTTCCCTCGCACATGGTCAGGAAAGTACTTCCTCAGAAACTCCCTGTTGAACACGAACCAAGTAATAACTTCACCAACCGATGTCAGTCTCTGACGGGTGCCAACCCACTATTCATCAGTTTCCTCTGGTAGTTGATGTGTACCAAACTGCACCTTCTGCACTTATGAGCAATCCATGACTCGAAAGATACTATCAATCTCCTTGAGCCAAGTTTGTACTCCATCAGGATTGTATATGCCTTTGAAAACAAGCGGATGATTCCTCTGAAATGTCTCCAAAACACTGGATCCATCATTCCTACCAGCATTGGCTGATGTTGCACAACCTGAGAAACAACCTGCAAGACAGCAACAAGTGCAACATCGTTTATTCCATCCAGTCTACACACAGAAAACTAACATCAAAAACATGCATCGATAGTGTACTCATACTAATCGATCAACATGACATATACATCATAAGAAAACCTGGTCGGACGAACCGACCTACTCTGATACCACTAATACACCCTTCCAAACCCCAAAGAATATTCGCAGAATATTTCAATAATTAAATCAGAGTAATGCACAAAAAAGGGTGTCATATTTGCTTCAAACAAACTTCATAGTAAAACACATCCTGCTCCGTAACACGGGTTTTCAAAAATCAATTATCACAACGGAAATTCATAATTCAAAACTTCTTTATTAAGATACTTCTAAATAACGCCATCAAATCAAAACAACTCAATTACCACAAGGGTAGTTCAAATCTCACATTAAATAACACAACATGATTATTAAAAACAAACCATCCCATCCCAACGTTATATATCAGAGCAAGACCCCTTTTATTCTACATGAAATAAAGAACACACTCCGCAACTATCCCCTAAGCTTCGATGAACTATTCTTGATTAACTGCAAGTTACCCACGTATAAAGACAACATTTCCAAGCAGCAAGGGTGAGTAAATCATAATAATTATAAAAGACATAAGGAGTAAATATAATAGTCATAATACAACACCAGAAATACACCATCAACTACCTCATGTCATACTCACACCTCCAAGCATCATAATATACATCAAACACGCGTAATTTCATCAATTAGTAATTATCACAAACACGCATTCACAAAACATCAATAAATCAAATCATCATGCAATGCTTTACATTAATGTAGTGCAACTTCTTTAGATTCATGCATGTGGTATCAAAACTTCACTAATGACATTGTCATCCATTTTCTCCAAAGATCCCCACCAATAGGATCGATTCTCATTTGGAACCGGAGCATATCACAAATTATACTCAAATCCACACTATGGAATTGAGGTCATCAATGGACCAATCATCCTGCAACTTCACTGGACCGAAGTCCTAACAACATCACTGGATCGAAGTCCTACTCTTATACCATAAATGCATGATGCAAAATATCTTAATAACCAAATGACCAC